TTACCTTCACAGACATAACCCACTGTTTTTGTAACTCGTGTGTGTTTTTAACGCAAACTGTGTGTGTGAATGAGAACTTAGTTTAGTGCTCACATGCTGAGACAGCCGCTTTCTGTGCGTGTGCTTCGGATGTGTGCGCTCAGAAAACCCTATATCAGAAGTTTAAACTAATATGGTTTAAAACGCATGCTTTCAGCGCGATAAACATGATAATCAGAACCAAAACAGATGTTTTTAGCAGGTCCGAGCTGTAATGGCGCAGCTCTATTCTGGAAAAGGGGGCGGGGAGCAGCAGCTCATTTGCATTTAAAGAGACAGGCACGAAAAACAGCGTGTTTCTGCTTCCACTCAAGATAGGAATTTTCAAAATGTTATAATAAATGATCTGTGGAGTATTTTGAGCTGAAACGTCACAGACACATTCTGGGGACACCTGAGACTTATATTACATATTGTAAAAAGGGGCATAATATGTCTCCTTTAAAACGTGGTGATCCGGTTGATTTCAAAAGTGCACAGATATGTGTGTATAAAGCACATAACCTACTTTAGAGGCTGTTAGAAATGAAAGAGTCTATGAAATTAGGGAAACAAACATGTTTAAGGGCAAATATAAATAATAGATGTATATCCATCAAAGGAGTGAAATCGTGGAATGGAATTGAGAATGTGTAATTCACTTGGAAAATAAAACAAATGTTTAAAATTGAGGTGATAAATATATAACTCAAAATTAATCATTTGTATATTGAATACTTTATATAGTTTAGGGTTATTATAGTTAGCTAAAACCATAAACAAACAAAAAAAATTAATTACTTGAAATAAAATAAATGTTAACTCAAATAAAATAAAGTATATATTTATTTCAGTTAGCTGCAACATTTCTCATTTTCATTTAGTTTATCTTGATCTTAAAATAACTAAACCTAAAACTGAAATAGACAAATAAAAACTATATATATACATATTTAAAGACAAAAAATAAATTATAAAAATTACAAAAACACACAATAAAAAGAATAATTTGTATATTGTGTATTTAATGTAATTCAAGGTTATTATTGTTAACTAAAACTAAAACCATAAAATATTTTCATTACTTGACTGAAATAAAAAATATCAAACTGAAACTTATTTTATTTAAGCTTCATTTCTCATTTCCATTTAGTTTACCCTCATGTACTAAAATAACTCAAGTTAAACTGAAATAAAACTCAATATATACTACTATATAGACATTTAAAAACAACAAAAACTAATAAAAATGACAAAATTACTAAAACTTTTAAATGAACATGAACGCAGAAAATATGAAACAAAATGTAATTAACAAAAACTGTAACTGTATCACAGTGATACTAAAATAACACTGAAAATGTATTTATTTATGAAAGCTGCATAGAGCTCTTTTGTCTGAAGTAATTGTTTAGTCTTTGTAGCTTTTGTATAGAGACTAATTTAGTTGTGGAAGTGACAATTATTATAAAAAAGGGTAGATATAATAAGCTAACTCATAATTAAAAATTATTTTCTTTTCCTGACTCAAATCTCCAAACCTCTCAGACCATATTTAACATAAATGGTCCAGACAGCATTATTTTCAGCTTTATATCTGGATTAGAGTAGTCATCTGTGAATATTTTGATTTTCTCAGGGGTTTTTCCACTGATTTTCTTGCATACATACAGACTTTTGCACGCACACAAGAAAGGTTTTCGTGCCCTCGAGAAACTATTCACATGCACACAGGAATATTTTGCATGCTTACGTGTTACATTTTCTAGTTTTATATTCTAGAACACATTTCCTTTGTGCGTCACTGCCATCTGAAGAAAACGAGAGCACGGATGCACATGAATTAACAGAGATATATTTGCTCAAAATGTGGCTTTCCTCAGGCTAGTACCTCTAATATCAGCAGAGAAACCATGACATGAAGTGGGCTGTGTGCATCGTCCTATTTGCCAAGTTCAATGGTCTATAAAAAGACTGGTACTGTAAAAACAAAAAAAAAAAAAAAAGGGTTAAAAATTTGTCTTTCGTATCATATTTCAAAGCCTTAGTTCTGCTTTAACACACACTCTGTGGAAGCCAAAAAAACACGCTGTGAAATGGGCTGATGGTGCAACTGATGGATCAGTGTGCATGTCCTATATGCTAAGTTTAATGGTTTCTCGTGCACAAGAAAGTATTGTATAATTGTATAAAGAAGTGCATAATGAAAAAATGCACCTTGAATTCATTCAGCGTTTGACAATCACTAAACAGCTGCCATGAAAACACACTTCTTGTATGATACATTTATTTTCATAAAATTTATAATTTTCTAATATAGAAAGCTAGATAGGGGCAAAAGTCTGGAAGTGCAAATATTTTTCCATACTGAGCCCACATCAGAGCACTCTCTCACCACACACTGAACGCCTGCTTTGGCTCTGCAGGTGACGTTGGTCGGCCGGCCGTAGCTGCAGTTGTGATGAAATGTGCAGATGATGCAGTCGGCCGGGAGTCTGGAGCACAGACCGCCGCTGGGACACTTGGACAGGTCGTTATCAGTCACCGCTGGATCAGCTGAACACACACACACACACAGATACACACACACACACACACACAAGAGACACACACACACACACAGAGACCCCCACACACACCCGAGCAGGTGTTTATGCTGGACACTCCACATGAATCTGCTGAAGCTCTAGAGACTGTGCTGGAGTCTCACTCACCGGAGGACGAGGTCAGAGCCACTGGACTGCTCATCACCGGGCTCTGCTGGGCCGTGTACGGCGGCTCCTGACCCACGTGAGGAGAGCTCAGTTGAATTGAGAGAGAGAGAGAGAGAGGGAGACACACACTGCTGACTGGAGAAGTTACATGTGATCAGCTACACACATAGAAGAAGGAAAACCTGTTTCTCCTCATTCAATATGTAATTCAGTATAACTCAACAATTAAAGCAAAGATGTGCTTCAATATATTTTCATGCAATTCAATAAAATAATAATTAATATTATTTTTATTATTATCATCAAACACTCATTTACACTATGATAGTAGTATTGCAATAGCACTATATTTATTGATTTATTTAATTTGTTAATTTAAATAGTAATGAAACAAAACATTATTTTGAATAATAATAATGAACATTATTATTAATACTATTTTTATTTTACAGTACAATAGTACTATTATTGCAATATTCATATATTTTTATTGAGTTGCTTAATTTTTATAATTTAAGTAATGAAACAAAAATATTATTTTGAATAATAATAATCATTATTATTATTATTAAATAATCATTTATTTTACAGTACAATAGTATTATTGCAGTAGTAACATTTTCATTGATTTGCTTAATCTGTATAATTTAAATAACAATGAAACAAAATATCATTTTGAATAATTAACTATTTTAATTTTACAATACAATAGTATTATTACACCAGAAATATATTACTTTGAATGGCTTATTTTTTATAATTTAAATATTATAATTTGAATAATAAAAATGAAAAGATGTATTATTATTGTGTAGCCATATTGAATTATTTATTGCTCTTAGCTGATAACAAATCCGTGAAGATATCCATGCATGAAATACAGCTATTTTAAAGACAGATGTAAACAACAGACAGTCTGCCCATAAAATACTGCAGTTATACCATGATACTCCAGTAATACTATGGTACTTTACACATATACCGTATAAATACCATGGTATGTTCCGGTAAGTGTGATTACCATACGTATATACCCTAGTATGTACATGGTACGCGTGTAACTCAAATGAGACCGTGATTTGAGTAGTTTACGGTAACAAAAACACGGTAAGTCACTTCCACGGTAACCGAGTCCAAACCCGGACAGCAAAGCCGTTACCGTGCAGTGTTTGTGTTTGTGTTGGGAGTCCGGGCTCTTACCGATCGCACATGTGGAGTAAATGTCCAGCAGCAGCAGAAGCAGCATCACATACGAGCTCATGATGTTCCGTCCGCGCTCAAAAACCCGTTTCGGTCCGTTCACCGTCATCCCGAACACCGCCGCCGCCGCCGCCGCCGGTGGACTTCCGGCTTCCGCTCACATAAAAGTCCCAACGGCGACTAAATCACGTTACTTCAAAATAAAAGTCCAACCAAGCACACTTTTGCTTTAAGTTACTGGGTAATATCTATCCAACTAGCTCCAAACATTATACGAATTTTGTAAAACTGAGAAAGAAACTTTGCTTCATTAATTCTAGCATTGTTTAGAATTCAAGTTCTCCTTTTGTAAAAAAAAATAAAAAAATAAAAGAAAATGTGGTTTAAACTTTTTGCTGAATCATATATTTTTCTGCCATTAACCATGCTGTTGAATTTCTTTGTATTCATTAATTTTGTAACAATAAAATATTAATCAGAAATGTTTCTTGAGCAGCAAATCAGCATATTAGAATGATTTCTGAAGATCATGTGACACTGAAGACTGGAGTAATGATGCTGAAAATACAGCTGCGCATCACAGAAATAAATTACAGTTTAACAGATATTCACATAGAAAACAGCTATTATAAATTATAATAATATTTCACATTTTTACAGTATTTTTGATCAAATAAATGCAGCCTTGCTGAGCAGAAGAGACTTCTTAAAAAAAAAAACATTAAAAATCGTACTGTTTAAAAACTTTTGACTGGTAGTGTGTTTGATAAAGCTTCCAAATGGACACATGATAAACATGATGGTGATTCTTCGAGCCTTTATTGCAAACCTTCAGAACTCCGACACCAAACCATCATTTAACAGCCAACTAACACAACACAACCCTCCATTCACAGAGCATCCTCTTTTCCCTTCATCCGTCCCGTCTCCAGCCGTTCCTCTCAGAAGTCCTCCTCGGCGCAGCGGCAGCGGGACAGTCTGAGGAGCGTCAGTCTCTGCATCACCTCCTCCACGCTCTGCTCTCCGTGCACCTTGTTGTCTCTGGTTCTCACGTTCACACTGTTAGCGGCACGCTCCTTCTCGCCCACCACTGCCCAACAAACACATATCAGAGCGTGCATTCGAGAGCGGAGCGTCACACTCACTCAGACGCTCGCTGCTTACCCAGGATGAAGTTGTACTGCGCCAGCTGCGCGCTGCGGATCTTCTTGTTCAGAAGACAACCAGAGTCCAAATCAGCATCGGCCATAAAACCAGCTTCAACAAACCGCTCACAGACCTGGAACGGGAGGAAGAGCAAGCAAGGTATTCTCACGAAACATGAGCTTGAGCTCAATAATGACACTACTGTCTTTTCAGAGCTGCTTGACCCGCAGAATCCACATTTGTCTCATATTTGTGACCCTGGACCACAAAACCAGTCTTAAGTGTCAATCCGAAAGCTGAATAAATGAGCTTTCCATTGATGTCTGGTTTGTTAGGATAGGACAATATTTGAAAATCTGGAATCTGAGGGTGCAAAAAAATCTAAATATTGAGAAAATCATCTTTAAAGTTGTCCAAATGAAGTTCTTAGCAATGCATATTACTAATCAAAAATTAAGTTTTGATATATTTACGGTAGGACATTTACTAAATATCTTCATGGAACATGATCTTTACTTAATATCCTAATGATTTTTGGCATAAAAGAGAAATGTATAATTTTGACCCATACAATGTATTGTTGGCTATTGCTACAAATATACCCCAGCGACTTAACACTGCTTTTGTGCTCCAGGGTCACATTTGATGAAGTTTGCAAAGCAAGAATAGCAGAATAGCTTTAAAAATCCTCTACTAAAACATTTTTGTTCCTAGTTAGACACACACTGATCTCAGTACTGATTTGAGCAGGTTGCATTGCTTCTCTAAATCATAAATAATCTACTAGATAAATCCGTGTATTTGCTCTAATAATTATTACATCTCAGTTATCTCGGTAATAATAAGTACAACCAGAACTTCATCAGTGCATGATACACTCTCAGAAAAAAAGGTACAAAAGTTGTCACTGGGGCGGTACCTTTTCAAAAGGCACACCTTTGTACCTTTTTTTCTGAGAGTGTATTATAAAGATGTACATGCACATTATGGAATCATGTTTTTTTCATCCTCTGAAACAACTTGTCTTTAACATGTTTCACAACCAGTCAAATCTCCACAGTCTCTGTTGTTCAGTGATTGATCTCAGAGCTGATGTTGTACCTGTTTGGCGTACTCTTCAAGAGACGGGTTCACAGGCACCAGCATCACCTGACGTGGAGACAACCACAGCGGCCTGACCAAACACACACACACACACATACACACACAGCTTAATGACACCAACGTGTGCTTTTCTGAGACTACAGGAACTCACTGTACGGTGTTCCCACTTTTCTGACATCACTGGAAATGTGATGCAATGCTGCTAGATGTGATGCAGTTTTGTTACTGAAGGAAGAGGAAGTGTCAACTACATCTCATTACATATGCAAAGAGGTTGGCCAATTGCAGCAGACTTAACAAGAAATTAACATATAGGAGTCTTAAAGACACAGCAGCAAAAGTACAGTACCGGTCAAAAGAGTCACTTCTGCTCATCAAGGCTGCATTTATTTGATCAAAAATACAGGAAAAAATGTAATATTGTGTAATATTATTATGATGTAGAATAACGTTTTTCTATTTTAATATACATTCAAATCTAATTTATTCCTGTGATGCAAAACTGAATTTCCAGCATCATCAGTGTCACATGATCTTGAGAAATCATACTAATATGCTGATTTATTATCAGTTGTGCTGCTTCATATTTTTTTGGAAGCTGTGATATTTTTTTTCAGGATTCTTTGATGAATAAAATTATTTGATCAAAAATATAGGAAAAAATGTAATATTGTGTAATATTATTATGATGTAGAATAACGTTTTTCTATTTTAATATACATTCAAATCTAATTTATTCCTGTGATGCAAAACTGAATTTCCAGCATCATCAGTGTCACATGATCTTGAGAAATCATACTAATATGCTGATTTATTATCAGTTGTGCTGCTTCATATTTTTTTGGAAGCTGTGATATTTTTTTTCAGGATTCTTTGATGAATAAAAAGTTCAAAAGAAGAGCATTTATTTAAAATAGGACTCTTTTCTAACAATATACACCACCGTTCAAAAGTCTGGGGTCAGTACATTTTATTCTTTCTTTTTTTGAAAGAAATTAAAGCTTTTATTCAGCATTAAAATAGAAACCATTATTTTATATTGTAATAACATTTTGCAAGATTACTGTATTTTTGATCAAATAAATGCAGCCTTGATGAGCAGAAGAGACTTCTTTAAAAACATTACAAGTCTTACTGATCCCAAACTTTTGAGCGGTAGTGTAGCTTTTAATGTAACAGTGATTAAAGATTAAGAGAGACAATTATAAATGATCGTAAAAACTACATTGTTTTGAGATATTGTATTATTTATTAATATTTTGAATTTTTATATTTTCAAACTTTATTTTAAAGTTTTAGTAATTTTGTTATGTGCTTTCTTTCATATTAGTTTTTGCCTTTTAAAATAAGTCAATTTAGTGTCATTTTTTATCTCAGTTTTAGTAATTTTAGTGCTTCAACTTATTTTGCTTTTATTTTGCTGCTTCTGGTACCTTCAAAATAAAAGTCCTATTAAATTTCATTTAATAACCCAATTATACATCCCCAAATAACATGGATGTTGAATGTGCTTTAAAGAATAAGACAATTATAATTTTTTTCGTCTTTCTTTTCCAGAATATGTTATTTAATATGTTAAATAATATATATTTTTAAAACTTTATTCATTTTAATTTGAGAAATTTTATTATATGCTTTTGTCATTTTTTTTTAAATATTTCTATTTAGCTTTAATTTAGTTTTTAAATCTAATATTTATATTATATTTTATTTCAGCTTTGAATATGTTCTCAAAAACCAAAAAAGCCAAATGTGTGAAACTACGGTGATTCTGCAAAATACTGATAAATAATATCCAATACAATTCTTTCCAACATATTTTAATATTTTTCAATACATAATCAATATAGAATTTTCCTATATATATATATGTGTGTGTGTGTGTGTGTGTGTATAACTACAGTTTGTCAGAACCCTATTTAGCTTTATTTCAGTTTAAGTAATGTTAGTACAAATAGTTTTTTTAAAAGTTTTTCATCTGATATAATATAAATATGATTTAATATTAAAAATAAAATATTAATATTAAATATATATTATA